ATTTACACAGTGGCGTCACAAAGGGAGTCACAAAGGGGGTGGCCCACTCCCGGGTGACACCATTGGAAGGGTGACACCAAAATGACAGTCATTTTGGTGTCACCCCATTTGAAAAGTTGCAGGGGAGAGAGGAGGGGACCTGGCGGCATACCTTATCCCGCCAGGTTAACGTCCCCTCGTCTGCTCCGGGTGACACCTGGCCTCGGGACGCCCCTGTATTTTCTAAACATCATGCAAAACCTACCAGTAAAGCAACTTTTAAGCCCATTGCAATGCAATTTCTATGAATAGATAGCGTCACATTTTCAAGCTTAAAAGATTTCTACTATGCATACTTTTTCTGAGTTTTGCCACAAAAAGTAATGAAGCCATTAAATCATCATTAAAGCCAAATCATTAGCATTTTGGAGCAAGAGATTGGCAATGGCCTTCTCTATATTCTCTCAATACATGTTTCTTTAGCATCTATGTATGTTTGTGTATGGCTTTTGCAGAGCCATTTTTCTCATGTGAATAAAGCAGTAGCAGCGTAGGTTCTATAGCACCCCAAAAATTCTGCTAGCACTCCATCAGCAGCCACCATGGGTGTTGCTATCGTCTGGTGCCCTGGGTGCGGAGAAAGCTGACAGCCATGTTTCTGCTCCTTGCGATTGGGCTGCCTCACATGTTTCCAGGCAGCCCCGTCTTCTGTGAACAATGCGAGGAGGATGGCTTTAAACAGGTCATCCGCCAGCAGGAGCAAGGACGTTGTATGTTACATAGTTCTGACTGCTACACTCTATACGTTGTTTAGAATGTAACATAGACTTGACCTCTATATACTATGTTGTGTGTTACATAGTTCTGACTGCTATCCCCTATATACTGTTCAGAACATTACATAGAACTGACCTCTACATGCTATGCTGTGTGTTACATAGTTCTGACTGCTACACACTCTATGTACTGTTTAGAACTTGAAGTGTTTATTTGCTTGCTGTGCTGATTGTAATGATTTTAATAAAGTATGGTAGACTCAAAGTGTTAGCTCCCTGTCAATATGCGGTTTTATTTTATTAAAAATGATCCTTTATGTCTATGGGTGTCTTTGAGATTCTAGCTCGCTGCACATTAATGGAGGGATTGTTTTGGGGGTAGGAGGCTGTGTACAGTTTTTACTATGATTAGGCTCAGGCTTAATGTTTTTCTATATGTTTCCTGCTTTTAATATAACTTGAGTTTCAGTATTGGGGACTTAGCTCTGCCACTTAGAGCCCTAGCACCAGCTTAGTGCCTACGAAAAAAAAAATAGCTGAAGTTGTCCCTGGAATAATGCATATAACTAGATCATGTGATAAAGTATGTACAGTCATGACTACAACAAATTCTTTTTCATAGGCACAAGTGCTGCTCCCATGAAATCAGTTTGAAGTCCTATCACTGGAGCTGCTAACCTTTTCACTGTGATCATGGTTCATATTTACTCCGTCACAGACTCCAGAAATATGGGGATACTACATGAAAATATGCAAACAATTATGTTTTTGTTCATATTGGCCAATGAGGTGTTATCTGTATTAATTTGGGAAAATAAATCAGGATAATTATTAATTAAATCAGAATTCTGGTTCTCTTCTGCATTTCCATAAATGATGTGCTTTATGCCAATAGACTTATGGAATGTAAACTAGCACATATGTAGACTAATGTACCTGCAGCATAGTAGTACCAATACATGAATTAAAAAGGAAACTTGTTCTGAGAGAATATGAAAGTTGCCATTGTGGACATCTCCTTAAAAAATGCTAGTTGGCTGGCTGTCATGCTAATACCTGCAATGCTATGTGAGTCACTGACATAGTATTGATGTCAGGGGTCCTGACTTCACTTCAGATTTCTATTCCGTAGTGAAGTACTTGTCCCTGATCAATAACTTAGAATTGAATCCATAGGTAATGTGTTGGTAGGAAAATAGCAATGTCAACTTTCACTGTATTTCTCTCATCACATGTTCCATATAAATGTTTCCAGTAACTTTTTGGGGAATTTTTGCCTCAATAGGGAAATTCCTCTTTACTTCCTCTTTTTTCAGAAGAACAAGATCCTCATTGGAAGACTTCCCATCTATTCCTGTTCTCGTGGCAACTGCAAATGTTGGATTTACCCTCACATTCATTCCTGGTGATACCAGTGATCAGGACAATTAGAGAGAGTGAATCTCAGGGACAAAGACAGCAGTAAAAACCTGGTCTGCATAAAGAAAAAATACTGCTAAGAAATCTCTGGACTAAAGGTGAATATTGCAGCAAATGCTGGTTTTGTTATTTTTCTCTTTAATGGGCTATTTACACATACTGTATATTGTTATGTATGGCTAAAGTTCTACATTGAAGTATGAATCTGCTTTTATTAAGAAAATTAAGTATCTACTCCATCCTGTCCACTAATATTTTCCATGTAATTATGCACTAAGCCCAGTGTTATTTCTGCAGAGCTCTGGCACCTTCTGTAAAGCTGTGCATTTGCTAACAAGTCCATGACGCACTACAACCATACCAGGTAGGGGCACTGAGCTTGGTAAGGGTATAGCACTTATTTGGTTACAGAGGATGCTGAAGAGCTGCATAGAGAAGTCATAAAATGGAGGTTTAGCCTTCCCTAAGATCAAGCAAAAGGAAACCTGCATAATGGACTCTACAAACTCCCTTCTGAAGGTAAATCAATATACCAGAAAAATACAAATAGCCACCATTTGTGTCACAAAATACAACATTCATTCACATGTAGAAAGATACATATATTATAAACTGTGGTACATTATACAATCCCCTGCCAGACCCCAAACTCCACATAGACAAGGTTGCCACTGGATAGGAGGAGCGAGAGCCTCACCCAACCCTATGTTAATCCGGCCCTGACCACAAAACACGCATGGCCCAGGTAACCTACTGCATGCATTGGCATAAACTAAACAAAGGACGTCCAGATGTATATAAACTGACTGCTGTACACTTTAGAGTGATGCACACAGACAGACAACCACATTAGGGTAGAGTAGATCACACACACACCCAGGTTATATTATGAGGCCTTCCACAAGCATACATCCAACATTAGGAAAATGATGACTAGCATTGAGTAGGGTGGCTTAGTCTAGTTTAGTGGAATCAGTTGGTCAAAAGTGAATGGGAGAGGCGATCACTTCTTTCAAGAGATCTTAATTTTTTACCAAGTGATTTCACCGAAGGACTCTTTGTTTATTCAGTAGACATGTGCGGTTAGTTTCGTTCCGAATAGAAATTCGTATGAATTTTCATAAATTCATACATTCGGATGCATCCGCATTTCCGAATGACAGATATAACGAATCCGAACAAATCCGAATGTTTGATAACGAAATTCATATACTTACAAATTTCGTTCGGAATGAAACACAACGAGCAAGAGAGCTGTCATTTACCGCTCTCTGGTTTCTCTGACTTGTATCCCGAATGGAAACAAAGTAACACAATATTGTTACAAAATTTGAATAAAGAAAGAAGCTGAGAGATCTGTGTTATTCTGTAACAGCTTCTGCATGTTTTCGAACATTTGGACTCTTCGATCCTGAATATAAAGAATCTGACAGCTGTCACAGAATAAACAAAAGTGTTTAACTGTTCACAGGAATAATACTAATTTTAAAAAAACAGCTTGGGGTCCCCCCTAATTCCTATCAGACCCTTTAGACCGAGCGAACGCCCCCCCTCCCTGCGCCATACCAGGCCACATGCCCTCGACATTTGGAGGGTGCTTTTCCAGGGGTCTCCCCATGCCCATGGGGATAAGGGCCTCTTCCCCACAACCCTGACCCGGTAGTGGTGGGGACCTGCGTGCAAGGGTCTTATTTGCATTGGGTACCCCCTTTCATAAAGGGGGCAACCAGATGCTGCCCCCCCCCCGTGAATGAGTAAGGGGTACTTCTACCCCATCTCATTCACTAAAGGGTTAACAAAAATGTAAATAAAGAAACCAGACTTTTAGAGAAAATCCCAAAAGAATTCCTAAAAATGATCCAGTAATCCAAGGGTCATGCATGTCATCCAGCGTTGTCCACACCGCCAACTCATTGAAATAAAAAAATATCGACACGCGCCGACCTGACCGCCCACGACGAACTCCTGCAGCAAAATAAAATTCTGACAGGTAGCGGCCGATTGTAAACATATGGGAGGATTCAGCCATGAAGTCACAGCTGGCTCCGCCCATTTGTTGTCATGCAATGACAGGCTACAGTCCTCAGGTCGTTTGAGGACAGTAGCTTGTCATTGTATGACAACAAATGGGCGGAGCCAGCCGTGACTTTACGCCCGACATCGCCCTTTTTTCTCTTTCATTCGTCTGGGACCTGGGAAGAGCTATCTGACAGGTGTCGGCCGAATGTAAACAGTTAGGCGGAGCTAGCGGTAATGCTGCTTCGGCACACCGTTCTCCCTGCTCCAGTTGTGACTTCGGCTGAGCCGAGCCAAATGCATATGCTACAGCTCGGCTGAGCGCGTCAACTGCTGTAAATGCTATTGTGAATAGCCCGTACAGCAGCTCTTCGGTTCAGGGATGAAGTGAGCCGAAGAATTAGCCAAACCTACAGCTTATATCCTTTGGCTCCTTTGTAAATAACCCCCTACATATTTGTTTAAAAAAGCAATGAGATCCAGTTTAAATAATAATGCAGTAAGTTTTTTTTAATAACCTTGGGCTGGTCCACTTATACAATGTGGTGGTTACTCTTTTCACAGATGGTCCTGTGAATTGGCATGAAAAATTATATTATTACTATTTTCATCAGTGAATAGCCTTCAAAACAGTATGAAGCAGCATGGTACATTTTCCGAGTATGTGATACCATTTTGAATATATTTTATTTGACATGCATTTGGATTCATTAGTCTATTATAAACAAAACAACATATATTTTTATTAATGTGAATGATAATTTGTCCTATTTGAGTATTTTTGAGTCCACTTTTGAGTCCTCTGTGAGTCCATATGGTCCGTTCTATATGCGTGGTGCTAGCCTCATTTTGAAACACTTTGGTTTCTGTGAGATACCAAAAACTGGTGTGAGGTCTGGAGGAGATTTGGGGTCCGGCCAGTGGAATTCAAAGTGTGTCATCATAGTAGTGAAATAGAGGAAGAGCTCCATCCGGGCCAGATTCTCCCCAAGACAACCCCGGGGACCTAAATGGAAAAACAAGATGGTCAGAGGGAAGTAACACTTAAAATGCAAGTCAACACCAATTTCTTCATTTTGGATGAGGTGGGGGAGGGTCCTTCACTGCTTGATATTATTACTGTGAGTACCTAGAAACTTCTAGTAGACTCTGTAAGCATGAAAGAAGAGCTTAGGATGGTGATACAAATATCTCAACTGAAAAGACAAACTAAGTCTCCTGAAGGTCGGAGGTGATCGCCTTAAGTGGGTTCCCAGACAGCAATAGAGACAAAGCAAGGAAATAAACTTGGCCCGCTTCTCCCAAAAATGAGAAAATCCATTTTGGGTAGGGTTAGTATTAAAAATATATCTATAAAACTTTTTTTAATTTTGGAAAAAATAGGAATTGGTTAAAACTGCTGACAGGTTTGTGTCAGTTGGAACAAATTCCTGTCTAAGGCCCCATTCACACTGAGCGATTCGCAAATCGCGCGTTTGTCGCGCAATTTGCATATTGCTCAATATCGCGCGTTTGCCGCCCGATGTCGTGCAAATGCTTGCATTGAGCAAGCTAGAATCGCGGCAAGATCCGCTTCAAAAAGGGTCCTGCTGTAGCGACGCATGACCCGCGACAGCGACGGACAGAGCCCCATTGCCATGCATTGGAGAGCGATATCGCGCGGTAAATAGCCGCGATATCGCGGGAATTACCGCGCGATAAATCGCTCAGTGTGAATGGGGCCTAGGAGGCACAAAACGAAGCAAAATCTTCCAAAAGTGAGTGAAAAACCCCACTTAAACAGTTAAAATTTGAACAGATTTCCCCTTACTTACTGTTCTGGTGACAACTGTACTTCCCATCATTTTCTGTCATATCTGTCCTTCTGACCTATGTGTCAAGGCAGATTATTAACATAATCCACTATGTTTGATGCATTGCTCAGCATTGGCACTGAATGAGATGTAGCCAGTTTTAGCCCTGAAGTTAACGTCTGTGTGTATAAGGTCTAAGCTTTTTATATTCTGCTCATCACTACTAACAATGTGTAGAGCCTTAGAAGGTCGCCACCTATTTTTGTTACTATGTTTTACCTGCAGAGAATGGAAGGAACGCTTCTACTTTCACTAGTTCTCCATCCTTGTTCAGGAAATTCTCTGGATTAAATTCTTTTGGATACTTCCAATATTTCTCATCGTAGTGCGGTGAGGACAGATCTGTGATGATGAATGTTCCCTGGAAACACATTACCTCATTAGTTAAGACCACTCAAAACTGTAATATAGATTGTGGGTGAACATCAGTGAATTGAATCAGTTATCAGCTACGAAGTTATATCTGTACTTAAAAACTAGGGATGTTCAGATACTCGGTACAAATACAAATACAGATACTTTTCCAGCTTCAAGACCAGACTAGAGAAAAATTCAAAAGTTAGGAGGCAGCTGTCATTTTTAAGGAGCACAGGAATCTCCTGGGATTTGTACATCTCTGTTTTAATGTATGATTTTTAAAAAATAAATATACAGTATATTAGGGATGCACCGATACCATTTACAAGTACTGATACTTATCCAAGTACTCACAGATACAAGTACTGATACATTTTTGTTATTGTCATGTGACAGTTTTTCTAAAACAATACAGACTAATGATTTCAGGATGGTGCTGGAGCGCCAGAGCCAAGTCCCAGCTGCAGCCGCTGCAACTCTTGTAGTTCTCGCTAATATGCCAAGTATCAGCACTGATATCTGAACTGGTATCTGAACATCCCTACTAAAAACAATAATTTAACCCTTTCTTTGCCAAGCACTCCGGAATGCTTTACACCTCATCTGGCCACACCATTTTTGCAATTTTTCCCATTGTTTTGATTTTCTCTTCCTGCATTGTTACCATTTGTAAAAGACCCCCCCAACCATATATTTTCTGAAAACACAGGCCTGGTAGAAAAATAAGATGGCACTACTTATTATGTAGGTCCTGCGATAATTTCGCAAATGTTTGTCAAATCAATATTAACCCGTTCATGACTGAGGCCTTTTTTTCATTTTTTGCACCCATGCTTTATTCCACATTTTATGCCTGGAAATTACTTAAAACCCCCACACATTATATATTTTCTGAATGCCAAGACCCTATACAATATAATGTTGGTAGTTTTTTTATGTTGCGCAATATTAGCACAACTCCTTATTAAACCCCAAAATTTAGTGATAAATTTAATTAAATGCCCTAAAACACAAAAAAATACCAATTTTTTAAATTAAATATAAAAGATGAGGTTACAACGAGTAAAACGATACCCAACATGCCCAGTTTACAAATTGCGTGCGTCCTTGAAAACGGCGAAAAATTGCAGTACCCCAAAAAGTCCACAGAAGACGTTTAAAAGCCCCCACATGTCATCAATTTAGAGATACCCCAAAATACTGGCCCTAGAATTATTGCTCTCACTCCGGCGTGCGCGGCGATACCCAACATGTGTAGCGCGTTCGTCGTTTTCATACGTAGGCGCACCCAACGCGTGTTTACGTGGCAACGCGCGTGCTCGCGGGGGCGGGGGAATTTTACATTTTTTTTAAATTATTATTAGATTTATTTTATTTTTGATGCAATCTGCATCGCTCCCGGTCCCATAGAACGGGGAGGGGATCGATGAACGGAAACATTCTTCAATATATTGTTGTCATTTTAGTGAGGCACTGATATTATTGATATTATCTTATATCCCTAACATTTATTTTAGGGAAACTGATTGATGAGATATTGATTATTATTTTAAAACCCACTGACCTTATATGACAAAACTGAAAAAAATTGCTTTAAAATTATTTTTTTTTTCTTTATTTACAGGTGTGTTTTTGTGTATGTGTCTGTGTCCATATTGTGGTAATGCCTTCCCCATTGATTCCAGTATATTTTGCCAACTGGTGAAATGTTTTTGCAAAAATCTCTAGATTTTGCCCGAAGTTTTGGGGAAATTAAAATTCTTCATTTTGTTAATTTCTAATGACAGATTTGCATGCAAAAGGGTATTGAATATGGGTATTGAATAATGAATGTATCTTCTTCTTTCAGGTGGATTCTCCAATTATTTACAGGAGAGATTGATATCAAAATTTGGTTCTTTTATGTTTGCAGCATTTGGGCATTACTGGGATTCTGGTGGGAACATGCCACAAGTGGAGTTCCTAGAAAATAGAACAAGCCAGCTTGTGTTTCAGCTTGCCACAACATACCAGTACAGTAACTTACCAAAACATAGAAATTATCTGCCTACATTTGCATCTTGTTTTTTCTTTTTAAACTAATATAGTCACGAATTAGAGAGTTTGTATTGTTACGCTGATCTAGTTGGGTTTTAGTGGACTGGCAGTGGTCTTTAATAGCTTCTTCCACTGGGGGAATGGGAAAAACTGCTGCAATATTGGTGTTTGTAGTCATGTGAAAACGTTGAGGCACCGTGAGGAAAGTAATGACACGTAGCGTGCCATAGCTAATAAAAGGTGTTGCCAAACTGTCCTAACATTGGGAGGGGCTTAAAGTGGCAAGATGGAGGGGTCAGCGGTGTGTATTGCACAGAGTGAAGGGACCTCAGATGCAAGGCTCCCTGCTTGTTGAGGGAAGTCCTGCCATGTCTCCCCTTGGCTGTGTCATATGACACTTTAGAGCTAAAGAGAAGTGGAGGAGTTTCCTCAACTTTCAGCAAAGGTATTGGATTGTCAACCCAAACAAGAAGGTAGTAGCTCACGGGATTTCTAATAGTCTAACAGGCATTGTTCTGTACTTAACGTGTTTTTCAAAGGATAAAACATGGAGACTTGGGCATGTATTGCAGAGATATACTAAACATGTTATTTTTACTTTGCTCAGACATACACTTAAAGAATATGCTGACCTTTGGTATAGTGTATCCATTCAGCTGAACATCTTTAATGGGTGCGTGGGCAACTCCTAGTGCCACAACTGAGGCAAATCGCTGGACTTCCTGTAGAACAGCCTGTGTGTACGGCATCCTTGCTCTATCCTCATAGTCAAGACGGTCTCTGTCTCCTCGAATTTTATCTATTTCTCTCCGACACGTCTCTGAAAGAACAAGCACAGTATAAAACTCATATTGGGGTTTTAATAAATAAAAACTGAAGGCAAGATAGGTTTGTATTATCTATTAAAATCAATCAAATTGCAGCTGGCAGAAAGTGGAAACACCTGATTAATGGGTTGCAAAGGACAATATAAACATACTACAGCAAAGCCCCCAGAATATAAGAGACCTAAAGAAGGAAATCATTTTCAGAAGACTTTACCCTGAAATTCTGGATATGCCATCATGTAAATTAGAATCCATTCCAGACTGGCAGAGGTAGTTTCTGTCCCAGCAATAAATAGATCACCCACGCACGTGAATAAGTTCTCAGCATCAAAAGTTGACTTGTGACTATCTTCTTGTACCTGAAAAAATGGACAAGATCACCCAAAGCTACTCATTATACACTAAATGTTGCAAGATTGTATACAACATGAGATATGCTAGAGAGCATTAGATTCACTCAGGAGTGTTCCTTGGCATGAAGCTCCCTCATAGTAGCCATGGACCTTTCTTCCAACACCCAGTCAATGTATGACAAATTGTGTAATCATTTTTGCAAAGTGCAATGTAAAGATTTATTTTAAAGATTACCATATCAAGTTCCTCCAGATAGCAGTCTATGTAATCTCGGGGTTCACCAGGTACTCTGGTTTTCCTGTGTTCCTCTAAAACCTTTCCAAGGAATGCAAAGACCGTATTAACATTTTTGAATATCTTCTGATGTGGCAATGGAAGATGTTTGACAAATCCAAATGCATTGTAGAGCTGAAATGAAAAAGTAACACATGATGCAAACAGCTAAATACAAAGTTGTTACACCTGCCAATTTGTATTTCTATCCATCCAGTCCTGAGATTTACAAAGCTCTGTCACACAGCATAGCCCTGTCTAGCAACCCAGAAGACCTGATTTTCCTCTGCTGCAGGTAACACTTACAAGTCTTGTCCTTCCCCCACCCTGAGACTGGATAGTTGAAGGAGAAGAAGCAGACTAATTAGATTATCTCTCTGTTACTCCTCTCACTTCTTCTATTAACATGTTCCACACATGAGCACTACAGCCCAACTAACTGGCTCCTTGTGCAGCTACTCTGTCTCCTAGTCTGAGCTTTGCTGTACAGGGGACTGCAAGATGCTAATACCCAAGGGCATATCTACAGAAAACGGCGCCTATGGCAAGCACTGAAATTGCACCCTTTCTAAAAATGGACAACAATATTTTAGATAAATTTACCATAATATCAATGAAAAAATGCAAGTCAAACTCGCATCAGAGTCCCTCCTTACATTAGAGTCTCCAGAGCCCCTCTTGCATTGAAATCCCCAGAATTCCCCCTTACATCAGAGTTCCCAGAGCTCCCCATTACATCAGAGTTCTCCCTTACATCAGATTCCCCAGAGTCTCCCTTTACATCAGAGTCCCTACTTACATCAGTGTTTCCTCTTACATCAGAGCCCCCCCCCCCCTTACATCAGAGTCCTCAAAGCCCCTCTTCCATCAGAGTTCTAAGATTCCCCCCTTACATCACGGTTTCCACTTACATCAGAGCCCTCCTTTACATCAGAGTTCCCAAAGCTCCCCGTTAAATCAAAGTTCCCAGATACCCCTCTTACATCAGAGTCTCCAAAGTCCTCCCTTATATCAGCATCCCCAGAGACCCCCTTTTCATTACAGCCCTAAGGACTCGGATGTAATAGTGGACTCTGATGTAAGGAGGGACCCTGGAAACTCTGATATAGTGGGGAGCTCTGACGACAATGATGTAAGGGTGAACTCTGGGGACTGTAAAGTAAGAGGGACTTTGATGTAAGGGAGGACTATGCAAAATCAGAGTCCCCTCTTTCATCAGCGTCCCCCCTTACATCAGAGTCCCCCCATACTTTACAGTCCCAAGAATTATATCACAGTCCCCAGAGTTCCCCTTACATCAGAGTCTCCAGAGTCCCCCCTTACATCACTGTCCCCAGAGACCCCCTTTACATCTAAGTGTCCTAAGATCCTGAGGGGACTCTGATAAAAAGGGGAACCCTGTGGACTCTGATGTAAGGGGGACTCTGAGGACTCTAATGTTGGGGGGGGGGGGGGGGCGTGGGGTTAGGGGAACCA